GGGCTCCTCCATGGGCTGCAGCGTGGAGATCTGCTCCGTGTGGGACCCATGGACTGCAGGGGGACAGCCTGCTCCACCAGGGGCCTCCACAGGCTGCAGGGGAAGTTCTGCTCTGGCCCCTGAGCCCTTCCTGTCTTCCTTCTGCACTGACCTTGGTGCCTGCAGGGCTGGTTCTCACTCCTTGCTTCCTCAGCTACTGTTGCACAGCAGTTTTTTTTTTCCCTTTAAATCTGCTCTTACAGAGGCACAACCAACATTGCTTATCGGCTCAGTTCTGGGCACTTGTGGGTCCCGTTGGAGCCAGATGAAACTGGCCCTTATCTAACATGGGGCAGCTTCTGGGCTCTTCTCACAGAGGCCACCACTGCAGTGCATTGCTACCAAAACCTTGCCACGTAAACTCAATATGCCTGTGTCTTCGGGTTAGGTAAGAGATTGGGCCCTATCCTGAAACCCCAGCCTATGGCCCAAAGGAGAAAGTCCTTGGAGAAAATATTTGTAAAGTCCTCTCTTACCTTACGCAGCTTTAAATCTTTTCTTTTTTTTCTTTCCATTCCTTTTTTTTTTTTATTTCTTTTTATTTTTTTTCTCTCTCCCTTTTCAGCTGGAACTCTTGTCTCTCTCCTGGACCGAAACATAAGCCTAGGTGTGAGATGAGCTGTACCCCGAGATGCCTAGCCGTATCACAGAGGAACAAACATGCAGCCTCCCCCATCATTTGTGTTCCCCCTTGCATCTCCACCATTACAGGCTTCATTTCTGTCTCTCCTAACTCTAATTTTAACCTTAATCATGGGCTAAGCATTAGCACTAGGCTGCCCAATATGGCCAAGAAGAGAGAATTTTGGGGAGATGATAATTCTTTTTTCACCCTGCCATGGGAAACAGGTCTTGCTACAAAGATGGTGTAATGGAATGTACATGTATCCGCATGCATCTTAGGCAAACCTGCAGCCTGTGTTGAGAAGGTCAAGCTGCCCTTCCTGGGCATTGTAATCACAAACTGAGACCTCTGGCCTATTCTTTACAGTGAAATCCTTAGGTAAAAGAAATGACCGTTAAAAAAAAAAAAAAAAAAAAAAAAAAAAAAAAAAAAAAAAGAAAAGAAAAGAAAAAAAAAAAAGGTCAAAGCATGTTCCCAAATTAGAGCTTATTTGTACCAGAATTTCTTCTTTACAGGACTTTTTGATTGTTATACCTGTTCCTTTCATTTCATGAGGGTGAAATGAGACAATTCTGGTATTTATAATGGTGTTATATCATTATTGGGATAATAAAACACATTATTTGTATTCAAGCATTGCTCCTTTATCAAGTAGTTAAGGTTAGAAATTTCTACTTTTGAATCATGAGCAATAGACAGTTGAATGTTGGCAAAGATCTAGAATTTCTCAGTAAATTAATATATACAGTGTGATAGAACAATTGGCTTAAGTGACTAGGCAAGCATTCAAACAACTCATTTTTGGAAAATGGCAGTATTCTCTAATGTGAATGTAATTTTCCATAATGGAGGGAAACTTCATTGAATGGATATACAGAAATCCTCAAGACTTATAAGTAGGGCACATACTTACTTATTGAGAGGCACATGGTACCTCAATATAATTATGACTATAATGATACTTTGTTTTTCTGGAAATACACATCAACTAGGTATATGTATGATGCCTAGTGAGATTAGTACCTCCACAGGAGTTACAATTTACAGGTAATTTATTTTGAATCATTGCAGTAAGATAGAACACCATGCACAAAAGTACTTCAATAGAAGAGCTTTTACTGATCCTCTTGGGTGCAGGGCATAGCCAGCTGCTAGCATGGCAAATGAATGGCTTAAAATAGGCCAAAGCATGAAGAAAGTGTCCAAAGTACCTCCATGAGTGACTGTGTGTTTATATGTATACAAATGTAATGGAGAACAATGCGGACAAGAACTGAAATTTTGTGCTGATGACACTGTTATTAATCAGCTTCAAAATCAATCCTCTTTGCTCCTGTGTTCTCAGAGGGCAATATGAAAGTATTCAGATTTATAGTCAACTATTGTTAAATGCCAGCTTACAACAATACAAAAGAAAGAAATCCTTTAATCAATACTCCATAAGTAAATGTCCCTTAAAACAAATGCTCACGTAAACAAAAATTGGATTATATTTGAACTATAGGTTTTCAAACAGATTAAAGTGCTGCAATTGAACAGATGTTCTTGTTGATGGGTTTGCAGTTATTTACTTATGCTCATCCTCATATCAGTGACTGAAAGCTGATTCACATTCTCCCAGAATATAAATTTTAATGAAAATAATTATCCAGCTGAATTTATGTAATTGTAGAGATTTTAACAGTGTGAGATAGTATACTGCAAATAAAGACTTTGCACATTTTAGTTAAATATAAACCTTTCCTTTCCTTTCCTTTCCTTTCCTTTCCTTCTTTCCTTTCCTTTCCTTTCCTTTCCTTTCCTTTCCTTTCTTTCCTTTCCTTTTCCTTTCCTTTCCTTTCCTCTTTCCTTTCCTTTCCTTCCTTTCCTTCCTTTCCATTTCCTTTCCCTTTCCTTTCCTTTCCTTTCCTTTCCTTTCCTCTTTCCGCGTTTCCTTTCCTTTCCTTTCCTTTCCTTTCCTTTCCTTTTCCACTGTATACTGGAAGTTCTGATCCTAGTATATTAGAATATACAACCTCTAAAACTCAACAGAGTAAAATTTGCATGACATCCCTAAGTGTTCTAACATCTAGATATAGCACTCATATACAGCAATAGTCCTAAGACTATTGAGATCATTTGCAGAGGTTGCTCAATAAATGCATTTCTATACATGAATGTAAATACAAAAAGTCCTCAAAATGACCAAAAGTCACAAAGAACATCATTCAAATAGAACTTAAATGCAATTACTAACAAATGGTTTGGGTGTTTTATATTATTTTATTTTTTATTTTATACCATTACGTTTCTGTGTAAGATTTGATATAAATCCACAGTCTTCTTATTCACAGCTTGCTTAAGGCTCCTGCAAAAGTGTGCATTTGTTAAACATAGTACCTACTACAAGGTGTCAAAAACACACAGTGGTCCCATTGGAGTGTCTGGGTGTATATACTGGTTGGAAGTGGTGATCGATATGAGAAAAATCATACAGTCGGAGAGATTACATGTATGTGTTAGAATTGCTGCTGGTGGGGATAATGGGTATGTAGATATATAATGTGTTAGAGAGGATAAATTCCTGATGATGGGTTATAATGAACTGATGTAATGCTGTGTGTATCTGCATATTAAAGTGGTGGGTAGTGATAATATGTATAATTGTGAGGGTGGGCAGACAGTGATAACAAGATGTGTGAACCGTAGGAGGTGATGGGCATGCATGGTAAAATGAGTAGGAAGTGAGGATGCATGTGTGACGTTGTGTATAGTGATGTTGTGGGGGGCACACGGCAGCATATGCATTATGGTGATATTTATGCAGTTTGGACCTGCTGTTCTTGGAAAAGTAGGTGGTGCTCATAGGTGACAGTTCATGTGAAGAAACAGGTTGGTCTCAGGTGAGGTGTGCCCACACATATGTGTGGATACAATAGATAGAAGCAGCTATTAATTTTGTACATATCTGTGTGCTAAAGGAGTCTTGATGCAAGCACGGTGCATGCATTAGTGAATAACCATGTCTAGCTAATAGAGAATGGGCAGGTGGTGGTGGTATGTGAAAGCTGGCTAAGTGGTTATGTGCAAATATGTAAGGACAGACTCTGCATTGAATGATAACGTAGGAAGATAAGAGACATTGCCTGGAGGGAGATGTGTAGGTGAAAGTGATCAAATATGTTTGCCTAGGATGTAGAGGTGCATTAACAGGACATTCTGCTGGTGTTCACATGTTTGTAACTGGTGGTGTGGAAGAAGTGTGTGAGGAAGCAGTATCTGTCTAGGGATGACAGCATGATTAACTATTGTTTTTGATTGTCGTTGTCTGGGATTGGGGTGTGTATATGAAGCAGCACAGTGTACATCAGTATATAAAAGCAGTTTGTGGTGCACAACCCCAACAGGGATATGCAAGTGTTTTAAGTGCAGTATTAAGGGGTGTGCATGTGCAGGAGTGGTGATACAGGTGGTTCGGTTTGAAGTGCTACTGGGAGCAGAAGCAGTACGTGAGGGGACGGAAGAGTGGACAGATGGTGTGTTTGTGTGGCAGCATAACTGGGATGTTCTTGGCACCATTACGGTGCAGACAGTAATGGTGAGCAGTAGTGTGCAGGCTAGTGCCTGCACTCCTAGATGTGAGAAGCACAGAGGCACAAGTTGTGCTGGGGGTGTAAGAACAGGACGAGGTTCGGGACATAGCATGGGCTGTGGGGCAGTGCTGTAAGGTATTGGATGCTGCTAATGCGTGATGGCTGGTGGTTGTGGTGGGATAGGACAAGGTGGGGAGCATGGAGCAGCAGCATGGCTGCAGGAGGTGTAGGCATCGCTGGTTTCAGGCAGTGCTGTGCATGTATGGTAAAGGCTGTGGGGTGTGTAGTCAGTGCCGTGCCTGGTGCCAGCACCATGGGGCGGGCAGCGTGCATGGTGCGGCTGCAGCAGCTGTGCAGGGACGAAGCATGCCAGGCCAGGTAACACTGCCCACCCACCCCTGAACAAGCTTTTGTCCCGAAGCCGGAGACATGGACCCTTTGCCCGGAGTGCCCCTGGCCAGGACCCGGGTGCCGTCGCAGGTAGGGAGCAGTGCAGCACGGAGGGGCAGGAGAAGAGGCTGGCTGCAGGGGGACCTGAGGCGGCACGGCGTGGGGCAGGGGCAGCGAGGGCAGCGGGGGCAGAGCGAGGTAGGGGCAGAGGGGCCGGGGGTGCCTGCCCTTCGGCAGCCCCGGCTCTGCGAGCAGCCGGGGGGGCGGGATGGAAGGCGGGGGGGTGGGGGGGGAGGAACACCCACTTACGTCTCCTCCCGCATTTTTTTTTTCTTTCCCTCCTCCTTTTCGTAGCCGGTGACGCGCTGCCGCCTATTAATCATTCACCAGCCGGGGAGCAGCGATTGCTGCCGCTCGGAGCGAGCGGGGCCGGCGGCCGCCTCCGTCCGTCCCCATGCCAGCGCCCCGGGGCAGCGGCGCCGGGAGCCCCGCCGGGATGCTGCGCCCGGCGAGCGGCGGGAGCCTGCGGCTCTGAGCCGGGAGCGGGGAGGTCCGGGCAGAGGATGCTCCCCAATGGCACCTGCACCAGGCTCCCGGGCGGTGCAGGCAGCGACAGCGGCGGCAGCGACAGCGGCGGTGGAGGAGCCGGCGGCGCCTTGGAGGAGGCGGCGGCGGGGGGCATGGACTCGGGCGGCAGGAACTCCTCTGGCGCCCCGAACAGCACCCTGAGCGAGTCTCAGGGCAGCGCCATCCTCATCTCATTCATCTACTCCGTGGTGTGCCTGGTGGGGCTGTGCGGCAACTCCATGGTCATCTACGTGATCCTGCGCTATGCCAAGATGAAGACGGCCACCAACATCTACATCCTCAACTTGGCCATCGCGGACGAGCTGCTGATGCTCAGCGTCCCCTTCCTGGTCACCTCCACCCTGCTGCACCACTGGCCCTTTGGCTCGCTGCTCTGCCGCCTGGTGCTCAGCGTGGACGCCATCAACATGTTCACCAGCATCTACTGCCTGACTGTGCTCAGCGTGGACCGCTACATTGCTGTGGTGCACCCCATCAAGGCGGCGAGGTACCGCCGGCCCACTGTGGCTAAGATGGTCAATTTGGGCGTCTGGGTGCTTTCCATCCTCATTATCCTACCCATCATCATCTTCTCCAACACAGCAGCCAACAGTGATGGAACGGTGGCTTGCAACATGCTCATGCCAGAGCCCACCCAGAGGTGGCTGGTGGTCTTTGTGGTCTACACCTTTCTGATGGGCTTCTTGCTGCCTGTGGTGGCCATCTGCCTCTGCTACATCCTCATCATTGCCAAGATGCGCATGGTGGCCCTGAAGGCCGGCTGGCAGCAGCGCAAACGCTCAGAGCGCAAGATCACTCTCATGGTCATGATGGTGGTGATGGTCTTCGTCATCTGCTGGATGCCCTTCTACATCGTGCAGCTGGTCAATGTCTTTGTAGAGCAGGATGATGCCACCATTAGCCAGCTCTCCGTCATCTTGGGCTACGCCAACAGCTGTGCCAACCCTATCCTCTATGGCTTTCTCTCGGACAATTTCAAGCGGTCCTTCCAGCGGCTGCTCTGCCTCAGTTGGATGGACAATGCTGCAGAGGAACCCATCGACTACTATGCCACTGCCCTCAAGAGCAGGGCATACAGCGTGGAGGACTTTCCCCCAGACAACTTGGAGTCAGGGAGCATGTACAGGAACGGCACTTGCACCTCCAGGATTACCACTCTTTGAGGAAGCATTTCTGCCCCACCACCCCCCCACTGCCCCCAGCAGGCGGGTGAGCGAGGCCAGGGCTGTGGCACGGGGAGGCCGGGAGGGAAGGGGTTTTGGTCCAGCCCACCGACAGCAGTGTTTGGCACAAGAGGGAGCAAAGAAAACCCCATGTCCTCGGTGTGCTGCCCCATCCCCCCTGCCTGTCTCCCATGAGAGTGGGTGCATTTGCTGATGCTTTGACACCCCTTAGTAAACTGCCGCACTCGGCTTAGGCTCTGGCAGCCAGGCTCTGCCACCTCTCTCTGTGTTTGACGAGCGGCTGTGCAGGTCCCACAGCAACTGTCCCCTTTTGTACAGGTCCCCCTCCTCCTTCCCCTCAGCTGGTGGGACCCCCCTGCCACTGAGCAGAGCTTGCACCAGTCAAGTCCCAGCAGTCTGGCTCAGATCCCCCCTGAACAACAGCAACCCTGCTCAGCATCTACAGGTACGCACCTGCCCTTCAGAGAGCAGAAACACTGAGAAAAGTCTCCCCAGTGCACACCTGGCCCTGTTAGCAGCCTCTCTCTGCCTTCCCAGAGGGAAAAACAATAAAAGAGGGGAGAAAAAGGCCCCAAGAAAAGGAGCAGCATAATCACGGAGCTGTCTTCTGCTTTGCAGACAGCTCCCACCTCCCTGGGGCTTGGGCTCTCTGTGCTGCTCTCAGAGGAAGCAGAACAGAAAAAGTCTTCAGAAGGAAAGCTGCTTCTTGCTGTGCTTCAGAGCTGCACAGCCGGCTGCTGATAACAGGAGATAAGTGGTCCCATGACCCTCGGGGAGCGGAGCACTGAGTTGGGGGCAGGAGGGAGCCTTGAGCCGGAGGATGTGTGAGTGTGTCCATACATCCAATAAAGTGTGCAAATAAAAAAGCTTAAGGGGAGCACTAGACTGTGAAGTTATTGTCTTGTACCTGCTCCATTAGCCATGAAATGGCAATGAAGGGAGCTGAGACAGTTCTGAATGACCTGGGTGGCTTCAAAGTCACTTTAGCCTACATGGAAAAAAAGGGGAATTAATTCAAAATCTCCATCAGGCTCTTAAATTAATACTTGACAGAAAAGTAGCTGTTTGACAATAGCTATTACCCTAGCTTCTGTTTCTTTTGTTGCACTAAAAGAAAGATAAAATGTGTTTATCATATGTTGCCAATGTAATATACTGGCCCGGAACTTCATAATGTTTCATTTCTCTGAAATGTTGTTTTTAATGTGTGCCAGATGTCTTTTTATTTGATTTTTTTTTTTATTTGATTCTTGTCACTGTGTTGTGAACGTGTTTCTCTGAAGCAATTTATACTGTGTACTTATATCTGTGGTGGCTACCTGCAAGAGTGCATTTAAAATGGGTGATGCTCAAGAAGGCTCCTTTTCAGAAAAAAAGGTTGTAACTTTTTCTAATATGCTCATCTACACTGTCTCCCCCAGAAAAAAAAAAAAAAAATCTCTTGAATTTTCCCTCTTTCTCTCTTATGAAGTAACATTTTTCATATGTGTGAATGAAGATTTCTTATTTGATAAATTACAGCTGATTAAACAAAACCTTTTCTCCCTGCTCCCCTTATCCCAGATGCAAGAAACAATACAAAGTGTATTAAAACAAGCAGATAATGTTGTTTTTGTTTTGTTTTGCTTTGTTTTGTTTTCTACCACCTGTATTGACAATGTCACAGAGTGGCAGGTGTCCTGGTAGTTGTGACAAATCACTTCTCAAGCACAATACTGTGGTAGTATTAATTATAGCTACTGACAGTCTGAAGCAAAAGACTGGAAAAAATCTCCGGTAGCAACACACCCGTAGCCCTGCACTGGGAGCTACAGTGCTAAAGAAGTGCACGCAGTGTTAAGTGTAAGACTGGCTGTAGAGGCATCTAGCACTCAGAGCAGTGGACTTACTGCAAGTTCTTGTCAAATTGTACCCTTCAACTTTTCTCAGCAGCAAAAAGCAGGAGACTACTTTGTACATTTCTCTCACTAAAAATTAGATACTGTTAAATGAATGTATAAATTTAGTATTTCAAAGTTGTCTGATTCAAAGCCCATCGAAATGAGATAAAAGATCCTAGTTCACTTCAATGGACTGTGAGTCAGCTCCTTTTAGGTTAAAAATTGCTAATGTGGAAGCTGTTACATCCTTATTAAAATATTTTGTGAAAAGCTTTAACAATTGTAGTTTCTTTTCTTTTACTTCTCAGTGGACCTCATTTAAAGAAAACATGCAAATATGAGTTTTGCTGATGATTTCCATGCACATATGGGGGGAAAAAAGGACTAAATCTCTCTATAAGCTTATTTAACTTTTCACAGAAACCAAACATCTGTCAAAACAGTCAAATGTCCCATGATACCACACGGTGCTATTTGTAGAGCTTCACTTAAAATCTCACTCACAATCTCTTTAAAATGGTATAAATCTCTCTCTCTCTCTCTCATCTAGGCATACTGTTATGTATGGTTCGACTAAATAAAGAATTTGTCTACTTTCTATTGCTGGATTTGTTTAACATTAGACACTATGAAGTAAAAGTGAAGAAGCAGTGATTCAAATCAGCTTTGATGAGAAGTTGAGCCTGGTTTTATTGCTTTTTTTTTTTTTTTCTTTTTCCTAATTTTGCCTTTAAACAAAAATGTTATGGATTTCTGTACACCTGCCAGCACATGCACTTTAATTTCAGTCTTCCCAGACAGAGTGAAGAGGGTCGGTGATTGTACTTGGCAAACTACCCGGCTGCTGCAGCAGAGGCTGTCGGTGACACAGTAGATGGCAGGCTTTCCTTCACAGAGATGCCCTGGCTCACTTGCAGCCAGCCCTGCTGGTCTGACTCCTGGCTAAAACACGCCGCATAGTTTCAGTTTGGAAACAAAACCTACTTGTACTAAATTAACAGTTCTTCCTGCTATTTTTCACCCTGAGTTTACTTCGACTTTGGCAGTGGGAGAGGTGATCAAATGCTGTAAATGACTCTTGATTTCCTTTGGAAGAAAAACAGTACAGCACCAAATTTCTTGGTGAAATTTTGTCCCTTTATACTGTAATATAATTTATTTACAACTAAGTAAACCATAATTTATAACTAGTGGTGTGTTGCTCAATTTTCCCTGTGAGTTTAATATTTAAAAAAATACTTCAATTTTATACACATCACTGAATCCCAAGCAACTTTTCCCATTCTTTGTTTAGCCTAAGACCTATACAAAACAGTATGACCACTCTGAATAACATGCAGTGGACAGCGTCATTTTCCTGGGTACAAAGAGAGAATGGCCTTCACATGGATTTTCCTATCACATACACACGATACTTCTGCAGCATTTTCCCACTCAAAGAAGAGCAAGTGGGAAACTACTCTTCTTTCTCACCAGATTCTCCAGGAAGCATGATTAGATCTAGAAGTGCATCCAAGAAGACACATATCCTGGGGCTAACTGCTGCCTGCAGACAGTGGGCTTGGAGCAGGCTGGCTCTTCATATCTCTGCTGTAGATGAAAAGAGTGATGGCCATAGGTAGATCCTCTGCCTTCTGAGATGGCCCTCACAGCAGAGAACATCACGCAGTATACATTTTTGCATTTAACACTGAAAAAATCCATCTGATTTCTTCACAGAGAAGAAGCATCAGATTTCTGAAAGTGATGCGTGCATTTCTGAAATGCCAGATTCCCATTGTGTTGGGATAAAATGGTTTTGTATCAAAATAAAATGGATTTCTGGTTGTTTTTGAAAAATTGAAAGTCTGCATTTTAAACATAATCTTGCATTCTGTATCAACTTCATGGTCATTTGTCCATATATTCTATGTTAACCAGTTTACTAAGATCATCATTATAACTTTAAACATTAGGCTTAATGTTACTGAAATAAAATGATCCTCTGATGAATGATTTATGTAGGATTTGACTTTTCTCTGTTGTGTTTCCAGAGCAGCAATGTGTAAATTAATGTGTTTAAAATATATATATATAAATAAAATAACAAAACCAACAACAACAACAACAATAAAAAATCAGTCCAGTGTTCTATATTTCATCCCCTAGAATCTTTACCTGACTCCAGGGCTAAAGACAAAACATTAATTGTGAATCTCTAGAGGAGAATAAAATATTTTTACTGCATTATGTATTCAGCACTTCCGTCTTCTTTAACACAGAGCCTTGTTGGACCGATGACTGCAAGCAAATCCACAGGAAGAAAAGGTAATTTACTAATTAAATTTCTCTTTGAGAATAGTGTTTTCAAAATATTGTATTTTGTAGAGAGAAACAAAAAAGAACAGCTGAAACACAGAGCATTTCAAAGTGTTTCACTAGACAGCTACAAACTCAGCACAGTTTTCACAAAATGCTTTTCCATGAAATCTCTCTATGCCCACCCCCCTCCAACCCTGCTTCACCAAAACCCTAAAATCTGGTTTTAGCGTAGGCAGCCATGAATGAGAAACAGCAGGGTGATGGGTCCTACCTGAAATATATGGGTTTCATCTCCTGTCTGGACTGAATAGATTTGCCATTATATGCTTATCATTTCTATGGCAGGTAGAGTCACCTTGAAAGCAGTATTAATATACAAAAGGCCCATTCTACTCTCTCTTTTTTTCAAAAAACATATATCTCTGCATGGGTTCTTATGCTATGAAACATGAGTAACACTGCAGGGTATCTCTGTGGGTTATTGAGCTTCCTAAGTAGAAAGGTTAAGGTAAAAGTGCCAAGATGCATAGCATATGAAGGTTGGAGGACAGCGAAGAATCACACATTTATAATTTGGGACCTAGTGTTCACTGTGATGATGACTGTAACTGGTTTGTATTAGCTCACTTTCCACTGCTGCTGACAGTGCTGTTTTCTGTATGTAGGAGCCTCATCAGTCATAAAAGTAGGATGACAACAGAGGGGGAGGCTGTGAGCTTCTGCAAGGGTGCTGCAGTGCCCTGTACTTGGCAGAGCTGAAGATGCTGAGTAACGTTGCTGCTGACAGACTGAGGCAAGTCAGGGGACTAAGGTTCATCCATTTCATGCAGAACTGGTAATCACACACACGTTTGCAACAGCAAGTTCAAATGGTCATCTGGAATAGTTCAAAATGAGACACAAATGTACAAAGCAAGTATGCAATATACATCTAGCCTGCAAAATGCATAATTATTCTATGTGGTCAGGACAATTCTGGACAATTAGGTTGTGCTGTTTTACTACTTAAAATATCTAATCATTTATTTCATAGAATCATTTAGGTTGAAAAAGACCTCTGAGATCATCAAGTCCAACCACTAATAGGAAGTCCTTTCTGTTTTTTTTCATGCTAATCTGATGTCTAGAGTAAAATTGAAGTCTCAGTTCTGCTGCAGATGTGAGTCCATTGCTGAAAAGATTGGAGCTGGTAGGAGAAAAAGCTCTTGGAGGAAAAATGTTTGGATAAGAACTGGAGTGGCTATACACGGAGATATCTATTTGATATTCAGAAGGTTTGAAGCTTACTAACACACACTGAGTGTTGCAGGTGCCCAGTGCTTTAGGAAATTGCACCTCACACCTTCTACGTGGACCAACCATGCCTTGCCTCAGCTAGGATTATGTAAGCATCTCCATCTGAGGCCTAAACCTGGAAACTAAGGGAGGTTTTGATTTGATTTCTTAATTAGTTAGGTTAAATAGGTTATAATATGTTGTGACTGTTGTAACAAAAGCACCTTGTCTATCAGCATACTGGCTAAAGGCTAAGGATCTTCTTGCCCTCTGGCTTCTGTTAAATACAGACATAGATGGATCTTGCCCCTCTATCCAGTCAATAAGAGACAAGTCATGGATAAAAGAAAAATTTGAAAAGTGCTGGCTTACCGAGCAGAAAATCAATACTAGTGTTAGTGGGTTTATTTTCTTAACATTGCATCAGAATTGTTGTTTATATCATTTGGTCACAGAAAAGAAAAGATGCTCCGAGAAGCTAAACTGTCTGTACAATATTGTAAAGCAGCTTTTTTTAAGGAGCTATATATGTCTTCTTGAAAAAGTAGAACAGCTTTGATATTAAAACAAGTTTGTTATCCAATGCCTTGTATTTCCTACACCATCTTGTATTCTTTCTATAAATTGAGTGTCTTCATAAGAAAAGATGCTTATTTACCCACTCTTGGTGACTATTGAAAACTCATTTCAGTGATGCTTTGAACAGCTACACCAGCTAAAGACCTGTCTGATCCAAGGTTCATGCCTTAGATTCATACAAATTAATTACACAAATCAATTGCAAGACCAAATGGATGAACAAAAGAAAATTCAATGAAAGGAAAGATGAGAAGCACAGAGAATGGATTTTTTTTTGATGGATATTTTGTTTTAATTTTTAGATCAGTAGACATTAACTGGTCACATGATGAGACCAGAAGAAAATGAATCTTACTTTCTGCTACTTGTGTTACTACAGGATAGTACAAAATCCTCATCAGTTAACTGTGCAGAAAAGTGATGGGATTGGTGTCTCAGGTGACTACATGTGAAGATTTCATAGATGTAGGGAAGGTGGGGTTTTAACTCTCTCTGATGCTATTTCTGTTGTTTAAGGTGGAAAAGGAGATGGAAAGGTTGTGGTGTTTTATGGAGTGCTGTATAAGAAAAAGCAGAATATTCCAGGTATGTTCACAGTGGGGCTAATGATTGTTTGGATATTTGGGGAGAATGGACATGAAAGAAGGCAGAATTGGTGGATATCTTACCACCACTAAGCACTGAACAGTAGTACTCAGAGCCTTAGAAAGAGGGAATTTGAAATGGAGAAAAAGCAAGTGTGTGGTGTCTGGGAAAGGTCATTTAATTAAGAAAAGAGAGATAGGAAAAAAATAGGTACAGTACAAGAGTTATAAAGTAGGACTTAGCTCTTTCATTTAATTAATTTATATTGTTTAGGGTATGGCAGATACATGAATTTTCAGTTCAGCAAAAAGGATAAAATTCTGTTTTTTATGTCAGCTGCTATTTTCAAAGCTGGCTGTTGCTTTTGAAAGTTAGAAAGTAGCTAGGTATTTATCTAAAAACTAAGTGATAACATGACTTTATGAAATTACTAGAAACTTAGGAAAGCAATGCAGAAAACATAACTGATTTTTTTTTAAATGTTAATTTACTGTGGATTTTTTCAGTGCTTTAAATTTCATGGGCTATTTTCTTTCCTTTTAAATAGAAAAAAAAAAAGTCTTACAGTTTTTTTGCTGAGCACAAAGAACTCTACATCAACAAGACAGAAATGGAATGTAGCAACATATTATCTTCTCTTTTACCATCATAAAATTAGATTTGCAGAATTTCTTCCTTTAAAAGCATCTTCAATGCTATGGCTGTGAAAACTATTTTCCATAAGAGAAATACATGCTCTTAAGAACAAAAGGTAATGTTCACATATTCCTCTCCACAGACCTTGAAACTCTGAACTTTGCAGGCAGAACTGAATTCCCCAAATGGTTTATCTAATTTACAGAGGATTTCAGGTTTTTG